TATTATAGAAAATCTTATGGTCAATAGCAGTACGATAATAGTTGGTCATTCTTCTCCGAGCAGTAATACAATAATCGATCTTATGATATGGAGCAACAGATTAATGGTGAAAGTAAAAGTTCTGACATTCTCCAACCTCCGCACCAATACATGTCACAATCATACTTGCCTCAGAGTCGCCTCGAAACATGTGTTCACGATGATCAAACTATGACCATCACAATATTGATGCACCAATAGCATATAATGTATCAGTATAATATGTCATGGGATCAGTTTCTAGATTGAGTCCGACAAACATATCAAATTGGTATACATATACATAGGATCGAGGACCCCGATCCCTAGCCCATAAACTCTCATCATTCTTTTTGGTGGTAGAACTAAGTATATCCATCAATCAATTACTTGATTTATTTAAATCTTTAAATTATTTAACTCATAATCTAACAATTCAAATAATTTCTTTATAGATAATTCAATATCAACAAAAAGATGGTTTAGAACGTACCACAAAGTTGCTCCTCAAAATTCCAAAAAGATATATGACACTATTATTTCCTAATTTAAATTATTTTTATTAAATTTATACTAAATTTATATTTATTTCTAACTTAAAACCCTTAATCTATTTTTTTATTTTTAAGAACTCTTAAAGCTATTATTACCATTTTCTTGTGCTATCGGTACACCCCGCTATTCTGACACATGGTACATTGATACGAGACGATACATACAATATCATCGATCGGCCAGTACATTAGTTCGAGCTAGAAAGGCGAACCCTACTATTAGAAAACAATATTCTTTGTCTTGAAAAACTATTAGAAAAATATTATGAAATTCACATTAAAAAGAACTAACTCTTTCTAAGATGCAATACAAATCGCTTAATTGCTCAAATGAAGATGTCAAAAAATAGATTATTCATCGTAATCATTAACCATGACAAACTATTGAAAGACTTTGTTGTGGCACTAAAAAAGCATTTGAACTTCATGTATGGTCTATCGTGCATACAACAGACAAGTCAAATATGTGAAGGTGTATTTTTTTTCCAAAACAACCAAGAAGCTTTCACATGAGGCAAATCTTAGAGCAAAGAAACCACTTCAACTTATTCATCATGTCATTTGTGAGCCTACTGCTCCAACATCTTTTGTTAAGCATCACTATTTTCTAACTTGTATTGACGATTATACACAAAAAATTTAGGTTTATTTTTAAATAAAAAAGAAAGCCTTTAATATATTCAAGAAGTTCAAAACTTTTATAGAGACTGAAAACGGCTACCACATTAAAACCATCGACTCCAATCAAGATGGTGAATTCACCTCCAATGCATTTAAGCATAGCATTTGACATCAACTAATGACACTATATTCTCCCCTGCAAAATGGTATGACTGAAACAAAGAATCGAACAATTCATAATAGGGTGAGAAGCATGCTCAAAGATCAAATATATGTCATATGAGTTTTGAACTAAGCGATGGCCTGTGTTATCTACAACCTAATCTAGTGCCCTACATCAAACTTGGAGAACAAAGACTCCATAAGAGGCATGGACAAAAAGAAAGCTAGGTGTCTCACACTTCAAGATATTTTAGGTGTGTTACTTATGCACATATTCTCAATCAAAGAACCAAATCATTTGATCATTTGATCCTAACAATTCAAAGCCCGTTATATGTAGGGATATGGAGTTCATTGAAAATGGTGCATGGAATTAGAACATCAATAAGTTGCATGAAGAACAAAAGCAAAAGAAGTTTAAAATTTCTTCACCACCACCATCATCATCATCGCCAACATCTTCTCCACAATTATAAGTCTCAAAAGACAAGTCTATAGTTCTATATGAAGTAACAGATGAATTGCATCTCATTTGTCGTTTGTCTTATAGTGAGCTACTTCTTGTTTGTCTCATAGTGAACCACTTCTCACTTGTCTCATAGTGAACCAGTTCTCATTTGTCTAAGTGAAGAGATCAACTCCATTGTGAGAAACAATACATGGAAGTTAGCATCACTATCCCAGAGACAAAATAATATTGGTGTGGAGTGAGTTTACAAAATAAAAAAAATACACAAGGACAAGTTGAGAGGTGGCAAAGAGTTACAAACAAAAACATGATGAAAAGGTAATGACCCTATTATCCAAATGGAAAATTTTAAATCAATTATACCCATTACCATACAAAATAATTGGTTAATTTATCAAATAGATATAAAATTTATATGTTTGAATGGTTTCTTATATTTATAAGAGTACCATTGACATTTAAAAAAGGTATGAAAAAAGTTCTTAAGTTAAAAAAAGCTTTGTATAGACTAAACAAGCACCTAAAGCATGAACTACTAGAATTGATATCTACTTTAAACAAAATGGATATATCCAATGTCCTTATGAAAGTGTCTAGTACTTTTCAAGAAGCAACCCACTTATTGTTTGGAGAATTCAAAGAAAACTTGGTTCAAGAATTTGAAATTATCGACATTGTCCTTATGTCTTATTTTTATGGTATTAAAGTGAAGAAAAATAAAGAAGACATCTTAATTTCACAAGAAAGGATATCTAACGGAGGTTTTCAAAAGTTTCAAGATGGGAGATTACAAACCGGTTGGCATGCCAGTTGAATGTGACATCAAACTTTCAAACCAAGATAATGGTGAAACAATCGATGAAACCTACATCAAAAGCTTAGTAACTTGAGATACCTAATTTGCATGAGACCAAATATTTTATATAAAATTGGATTAGTGAGTCGATTTATGGAAGAACCAAAACCGATACATGTAAACACCAAAAAAGTTCTTCGCTACATCAAAGGTATCATAACTCATGATCCATTATATCCATTTTCAAATGATTTTCTACTCATTGATTATTCCGATGATGATTAAGGTGGAGCTCTAAAAGACTAAAAAATACCAGTTTTATTTTCTACATGGGCAACACCACTTTTACTTGGTATTCGAAGAAACAATCTACTAAGACACTATCTCCATGTGAAGTGAAATATGTAATGGAACCACCATGTATGCCACACTATATGACTAACTTGAAAGAATTCAATTATGCACAACATCAATCTACAAAGATATATGTTGATACCAAGTCAGTGATATCATTTATCAATAAACTTATCTTACATTAACAAAGCAAACATCTCAATGTTTGGAACCATTTCATTCGAGAACAAATTAAAGAGAAGAAAGTTTCATTGGACCACATCAAATCTGATGATCAAATCGATATTTTCACCAAGCCCCTTAATATGGAGATATTTCTTAAAATGAAGACATCACTTGATTGTGTGAATAAAATGAATGAAGTTTAAGGGGTGTTGAGTGATAAAACCTGATTAAAAGAGAGAAATGAAATCTCTCTTTCATGAACACATGGACAAAACAATATAACCTTTAGAATTTGAAGAGACAGTAGAGGTTACACACCATGATAAAAATAACAATGTAGAAGGAGGTTACATGGGTTACGATAAGTAAAGAATCAATAGGACATTTCATAGGTTATAAATAATAAAAGTGTATGAATTTCGTCATAGAGCATGAGTATTGTAGCTCTTATGTAAGGTTATATATATAGATAAGAAATTTCATGTTTAAAGAGAGATAATAAAATGAATCAAGAAGAAAGTCTAGAGACTTGTCAAGAAGAAAAAAGTTATTGTTTGTCTCTAGCATCAAATTTTCACTACTCTTTTTCTCTATTCCTCTTTTCTTTTCTTGCATCAAATTTCCATTACGCATGGTTATAGTCCATAATGCACATAAATATTTAAGATTTGCAAAAAATTGATGTGAGTTGATAATTATCCATGCAATCAACATGAAGGTACATCCACTAACAATAGAGAAACAAATAGGTAACCTCAATAAATGGTTTAAATGTGGCTTCGTAGTGTTTGAATGGAGCTAAAATGTATGTGACATAAGACTAATGATGCATTACGGCAACTCATTGAGAATCAAGTATGAGCATGCAAGATAAGCAGGAATTGAAGATATAAAGTTTATGCAACAAAATAATTCGAGAGTCACTCCTACTGAGATGGATGATGAACTTGATAAGATTGGAACCTCCGTAGCACAGGAGATATTTCAACCGCGAAAAAAATATTCAACCAAGTATTATCAATGAAAGATGATTATGATTACAATCGCACAAATGGGCAGATACTGAAAGCCTAGCGGCCAGCCTCCGCGGAAAAGGTCTCAATCTCCGGAAGACTATCTTGCAGCAGTAACATAGCCAAATCTAAATGTCTTTATCCTAACCTTTAATAAGACCAAATAAGACCGATTGCATAAAGCCAGCGGACGCGCAATAAAATCAAAACCAAGGGCACGAATTTTACAAGAAAAATGCAAAACTACAATCAAAATCAAACCGTGATGGCATAAAGGCACTCACTTTGAAGCTTCTTGTCCATGTACCTGAAGAAACAAGGCATCGAGAGGAAACGAGAATCAAAAGGGGAACCGGAACGGTTCAATTAAACCAGAGAGAGAGAGAGAGAGAGAAATCTCACTTCTTGAGATCTGGAGGCTGGCCCGATCGGCTCATGTCGTTAAGAAGCGAGAGGAGTTCGATGGGTCTCCAAGTCCCGGGAGTTTCTTCTCTCTGCACACCATAAACCCTCAGCCCTCCGCAACGTCGACCACCGTCGCAAAAGTCGTATAAATAAGCAGGGGGTGACGTCTGCCCATCAAAGGAATGAGAATTCCTATGCGGATCAATCCATAATCTTTTTATGGGGCCCTCGTCATTCACCAATCAAGACACGCAACTAGTCACCAAACCTGCTGAGACGACATAAGTACCTCTTACAGTTAATTATAATTAATATTTTAATTTTCCAAACCTACTGAGACGACACAAGTACCTCTTATAGGTAATTATAATTAATATTTTAAATTTTATATTTTAAAAAATAATATTAAATCTTTATATATGAAAGTAAAATATTTAATTCTAATTCTCATCGTTAACTTTCTCGATCAAAAAAAATATATGTGTTGTCACATGCAATACATTTTTATTATTTTTAAATTATTAATTTTATATAAATTTTTCTTATTGATTTTCTCTCCCCCTCCTCATTTCAACCTACTCATTCATTGTCCATCGCATCTGTTGATCATACTCGTCTATCATACTTGCTCACTCGTTGTTGGCCTGCTAAACCTACTCACCCGTTGAATCTGCTCGCTCATTACACCTACTCAATCACTATTTGCCCATCGCACCCGTTTGCCCATTACATCTGTTCACCTATCACTCACCCACTGCACCTACTCGCTCGCTACTCGTCGATCATACCCACTTATTTTTTTTATGAAATGATGAGAAATTATTTTCTTTTTTCTCTTGAAATGGAAGTGTTTGTGTTAGATATAAAATCTTATTTCATTTGCTGATTACGAAGGTAGCATGATTAAAAAAAAAAAATCTATGGCATCATCAACACAATGATGGAATTGATGTTGTGTTGTTTCCGATCATCTTTGAAACAAAAAAGTAGATCTATCATTTTGTGTCATTTGTCATGGAGCTCATCGAATACTTTTGTATATTTGCTTTCTCCTTGTAACTTTGTTTGCATGAGACTCATCAAATCGAGATATCACAAGTTAAGCAGAGTTACTGCAAGCCAACAAAAATCTCACTTAAGTTTGTTCATTTGCTTACATGAGCTTATACCGATATGAAAGTGATAATGACGACATAAACTTATATGCTTATTGGTTTATAAACTTTGTCATGTCTCATTGGAGTTTGACTCGAGTGGTAATTTCCTATCAATCTCTTATTTCTATTGGAAGTTGTCTACCTTTAGAGATGACACCCTTTATTATAGTAAAAATTACAACTAAATACTGATATGAAACATAATAATCACAGCTGGCAAGTTTTACGTAGTAAAAACTGCTAACAGGTTGGAAAGCAGCGGGTGAGTAAGTGTGCGGGCGAGCGGGTGTGGCTGGCGTGCGACAGGCGAGTGACTGTGGCAGGCGAGCGGGTGCAGCGGGCATGTGACGGTCGAACATGTACAATAGGCAAGTGAGTCCGACGAGCAAGTGATGGGTGAGTAGATGAGGAAGGCGAGCGGCGCGTGACGAGTGCAGCGGGCGAGCAAGATCAACGGGTGCAGTGGGCGATGGGTGAGTGGGTTGGAATTAGGAGAGGAAGAGGAAATCGGTTAGGGAAGTTTATATAAAATTAATAATTTAAAGATAATAAAATTATATTTTTATTCTTTTCATACATGTGGTGTCACGTATAATTTTTTTTTCAAAAAAATTAACGACGTAAAAAGAATTAAGAATAAATATTTTACTTTTATAAATATAAAAGAAAGTTAATAACGTAAAAAGAATTGAGAGTAAATATTTCAAAATTCATCATCTTCGTCTCCTCTTAAGGCGGAAGAAACTCCATCACAATCTGCTAGTGCCAAAAGCTCCAGAGCCATCTCTTATTGAGAATCGAGTAGCAAGGAAAATAAAAACAGAATTATAATGGAAAGAGAATATTTTTAAATAA